CGCCAGGAATCCCGCGGATCTCCCCTCCCGAGTCAGGGGCTGTGCCTGCCCCAAGGGACGCGGCTGTCTGCCACGCGGTCTCCCTCCTACCGTCTGGGCTCAGAGGTCCGGCAAACTTTCCTGCCCAAATCCCTGGGTTCCTTTTACCTTTCCAGGGGAGTTCTGCTCTTCCCGGCTGCAAACCGTCTCACCAGCTGAGCTCTTTCGCCAACTCGGGGTGGGTGCTATTAGTTTCAGCTGCTCACTCCATTTGCTCCGGGACACGACCTGGGACGTGTCTGCCTATATCGCCGCCCACTCATTTTTATTTAATCAAAATACTTATTTAATGAATGTATTATGTGCATTTTTTTCTCTGATTGTCCTTAATTCTTTAATTCACCTTCAAAATAAACTGTTAAAACATCAAAAAAGAGCAAAAACGATGATGACAGGTCCTCCAATCAAGAACACACACACACACACACACACACACACACACACACATTTTATTCAAACTCCATGTGTTTGGGAAGGTGAATCAAAATAATAACAAAATAATTTCTGTGGTGTCAAATATGTCCTTCTAATATTAATGAAGCTGACATACTCAACTTTGACATCATTTCTTTTCTAGTCATTTAATAGCCTTTAATTGGGGAATATGTGACTCCAGAGTTATCACAAAACATTTAACAAGGAATACATGAAGCATGTCTAGAAGATGTCATTCTCATAGAATATGATCTGACTGGGCCCAAACCCAGAGTTTCCCATGGCCAACTTGTACAACTCTAAATGGTGAGGCAGTTTAATTTACAGAAGTAGCTATGTATCAACTCTGTGCTAAGGCTGAAATTAAGAACATGGAGCTAATGTCCACTGAGTTGGGAGTTTTATACATCAAAAAGACAGGCAATCACTATCTCCTAAAAGTAATTTATAATTATAGAGCTGTTTAAACATGTGATATGTCTTTTTCCAAAACATAACTATTACTGTTCTAGAGACCCATTACCCCCCGCTGTCGGGACTGGCTTCCCTCTGGCACCAGGGACCCGGGCTTGCTTCCCTCTGGCTGCCAGCAGTCACCAGGGACCCCGGCTGGCTTCCCTCCAGGCATGAGTCGGCACCCAGGACCCTGGCTTGCTTTGCGCCAGCTGCTGGCAGGCACCCGGGACCCTGGTTTCACTACAGCCTGGGCTTTGTCTGGAAGGATGTCTGGTCTAATTAGCATATTACCCTTTTATTATTATAGACTAGTAGCCCGGTGCACAAAATTCTTGCACATTAAATGGGATCAATTGCCCTAACCTGTTTGGCTCAGTGGATAGAGCATCAGCCTTCGGACTCAAGGATCCCAGGTTCGATTCCCGT